TCCTAGAGAAAATGGCACTGACAGCATCCCCTGTCAAGATTCCCTCCCACCAAGCCAGGATCTGTAACTGGTGGGCACTGTGAAGGGTAAGCACCTATGCCAAGCCATAGCACCCTCGACCACCACAGCCAGGCTAGCACTGGTAGCACCACTTAGGCCATGCCAAGAGGGTATCAAGGGACACATGCCTACCCATCCACCCAGAAATAGGAACAGGCCCCTCCCGGCCCCTACTCACTCCTCTGCCACATCATCATCCTCCTCCCCAGGGTTGAATGACTCATCTGGAAGAGAAAGCATACAAGTCAGTCCAACTGCTGGGGGTCATGGCAGGCTGGGCAGGAGATACACAGCAGTCACCCAGCACTGGAAGCTCTCAGGAGGCTGGGAAAGGACCAAATAAAGAAGACAGGACTTCCCCACTCCTCACCACTAAGACTGAGTCAATAGTCCCAACCACCCACGGCAAGGAGGCAGAATCTCCCAGGTCTCAGCTAGCGAGAGCTCTCAGCTGCAAGGAGAGGAGCACTAGGAAGCAGCCAGCACCAATGCTGCTGCTGCCTCACCTGCCCACCCTACCCAGAGGCAGGGCCCTCACCTGTCTCTTCCCCAGACTCATCGCTGCTGTCATTGGCATTCTCCTCACGGATCTTGCCCTCTTCCTTCATCCTCTCCAGGTAGGCATCATGCTGGTCCTCATCTGAATCAGCATATTCATCGTAGCTCTGCTTGATGTCCTGAGGCACCATGGGGAGGCAGTGAGTGCTGCTCTCCACCCTTTCCCCCTTCCCACCCTCAAAGAGGGGCAGACAGACACTCTCCTCCCCACCCTAGCATGCGGAAAACCTAGAACTACAACTCCCAGCATGCTCCTGGGCACTGCCCTGACCCTAGGAGTCAACTCCACGCATGGTGGCCCCAGCGCTCTGAGCAGAGGCGGCATGCAGTCCACAGACGAATGTCAGCACATGTCCAGTGTGCCCCTCGCTCTGGGGACGGTGTGGGGAACACCAGTGGTGTGAACTGGGGTAAGTGAAGCCCACTCAAGGGGGAAAGCAGGGAGCAACAGCCCCCCCTTCCCTCTTATGGCTCATGCATGGTTATGGGGGTTAGTAGGGATCACCACAGCCATGCACAGGAAACCTGCACCAGGAGGAGGAGGAGGAAGAAGAGGGGAATCGGACGGACCTTTTTCTTCTACAAGGGCAAGGAAAGAAGAGAAAATGAAATAGGGGCCAAATCTGGAGCAGAAGAAAGAAGCCCTGGCCCAGCCCAGCCCCTCCCCCATGCACCCCTGGCCAGTTGGGGAGCAATTCCAGAGCAGTAGTGGGAAAGGGGGGCCAGGCCAACCCTGCCATCCCTGCCCCCACCCTGCCAGTACCTCCTTGTGTCCTCGGTTCTTGATGTTCAGCTTCTTGGCATTGACAAAGTCAAAAAGCTTCCCATACTCTTCCCTGCAGAACCAAACAGCAGTCACAAGGCCAGGCCCAACACTCCCCCAACCAACACACCACTGGCAGGCCTACAGCATATGTGGGGCACAGCCAACTACCTGAGGGAGGAGGGCACTGTGGCAAGGGAAAGGAGCCCATCCCAGGAGGCATGGGACATCAGTAATGAGTCACCCAGGGAGCTGGAGGAGGGGGCAGCTGTGAGGGAATGGAAGAGGATGGCTGCTTGTGCACCTATAGGATCTCAGCAAGCTGTTGGCATTTGGGTGAGGCACAATCACCTCTCTCTGCTCCTGAAGATGTACCACATGCAGTGGTGGCTGAAGAATGAATGGATGCTGGGACAGGGGTAGGGAAGCTCACCGTTCTATGCTGCTGAAGGTGTACTGTGTGGCCTGCTTGGTCTCAATCTCAAAGTCAAAGGAGCGGGTGGTAGTGGTCCCACGGGCAAAGTTGACAAAGGAGATCTCGTCGAAGCGGATGTGCACAGGGGGCTTGTGCACATAGATGAACCCACGCTCCAGTGGGTACAGCAGCCCTGAGCTGGCCTTGTAGGAGCAGGTGATGCACTGGGCCCCTGAGTGCCTGTGCAGGCCAGGGAGGGGACACACAGCTGGGTTATACACATAAAGCGTCCATGTGCAGGCACTTGCACACAGTCCAGTCATACAGGGGCTATCCCCACTCTCCCCAAACACTCGCATGGTCAGCCACAGCAAGATAAGCAGCCTCAGCTGTTGGCACTGAGGCAGAAGCCCTCCCCCTCCCCCATCACATTTGAAACCCTTCTCACAGGCATCTCTGTGTCACAATGTTAGAAGAGAGAACTTAGTACCACTGCCTTGGGCAGCTCAGCTTATGGACCATTGAAATCTCTCCCAAGGGGGCAGCTCTGAGTCTCCTCAGAGCAAGAGTGGGCAAAAATCTGGCCCACAGGACCCCTAAAAAATTTAGAAAATATTTATTTGCTCCTGGCTGCCTGTCAAAGACAACAGGCACTGGGCAGTAGAACCCAGGAAGAGCTAGCAGCAGGAGGCAGGAGCCCAGCTACACCCACCCCCACCTATTTCCCCACTTCCTGCTCTCACCCTGCTCCAGCACCACATGGTACTCCTGGCTTCATGGCCAGACAGGGGAGCACAGGGCCCTGGTGGTACAGGGATGCGTGCCTGCACGTAGGCAGGGGCAGAGTGTGCGTGTTCATGTGCACGTGGGATTTGCCCTGTCCGCATACCCCACCTTCACACTGCCATACACAAACCCCAGCCACCCTCCCTCTACACAGTCCCCCAAGAACCCCATACCCACCCACCCCCTACATATCCACACCCACATGCTCACAGCCCCCAACAAACCTATACCCACCCCCCACAATATACAAGTGTAAGATTTCAGTTTAAACTACTGTGCAATCACTTGTATGCACACTACACAAACACATGTAAACCAACGCAAAAATGGTTTTTGAAATCAAATTAATGGATGTTGTACATGTTTGCTTTTTAGAATATAATTTGGTATTTTTCTGGTTCCAAGATGGCAAAACCCCCCACTGAAAGTAGTTCTGGGAACGTGGGGAGGGACTTCTGGTGGCAAAGATCAGAGCTTAGGGGGCGGGATTTCCAGTCCCAAGATGGCAACCAGGCACAGGGCACTTATCAAGGGGCGGGGCTACCCATGCAGCCCTCAACAGCTTGCTAAAAATCGGTAAGCAGCCCTCCGCCTGAAATAATTGCCCACCCCTGCCTCAGAACCAGTCAGTCCTACCTGACCTGGGACAAACTGAAACCAACACCCCCTAGAAAGAAGTTATACAGACCATTCCCTGTCCTCCTATGCTAAGCATCCCCTGTACTCTGGGGCCAGACCAGAGTCAGTCTCAGAGTCAGGCAAAGCCTAACATCCCATTCCCCATAACACTGGGTCTTCCTGCTGCAGGGTCCAACACCCACTCCCCAGCACACACTATGCCTCACCCCTGGAAGTTGCCAGGTACAGTGATCTTGCGGTTCACTAGCGCTTTCATGACCCGGCTGACCATCTCGTACAGGGAACCGGACATATTCTTTGTGAGCCGGCCCTCAAATCGCTTCTCCACCTCCTCCCTAAGGGAGGGAACAGAAAGTCATCAGTAAGAAGAGAGGTAAGCCTGAACCCACAGACACCCAAAGAGGCCCAGGAGATTTTGTACCAACAGAGAAATCAGATCACAAAGAGGCCTCAGCACATGATAAAAGCAGGACCAGTGAGAAGGCTAGGGGAAATAAGACAACCACATCTGCTCCCAGAACACCAACAGAATGATGGCCTGGACATATGGCCGGTTAACACCAATATAAAATGCCACTAGTGTCCAGACCACAGACTATAAGTGATCTCTGGACAGATGCTGCAGTAAGCACTATTACAGTGCCTCACCACAAGGTGTCAGGGAAGGATGCCACAGCCAGTTTGCATTGAACCAACTGCTACGCTGGGATACCCGAGGACACAAGACATCTACACCAATATATTTTACTGAGGTTTTCCCAGAATAGGATTCCCACACAGGATTATAGTATATTACACCAAAGTAAAGGGGGGAAAAGGGGTGTCCACACCTTTCTTCTAGCCTCCACACATCAAAAGGCCACCCCCCAAACAGCTCCAAAAGAGTCTGTGAATCAGAGCCATATGGGTGAGGATCGCTAGGCTCTTGGACCAAGCAGTCAGGGTCCTATAAGACTGATGAAAGACTGAAGCTTCCTGCCATAAACAAGGTAAAAGCAGCAGGAGCAGACAGACTCTGGCTGGGGCACTAGGCAGGGCTGCAAAGTGTGGGGGAAGGATGCTCACTCATTCATGTTAAGAGTCAGAGAGATGTCCTCATCCTTGGAGAACAGCAGGATCAGGAAGTGGTAGCGCGTCTGGCCCTGCTTTATTGGAGGGTCCAAGCTGATCTGGAGAAGCAGCCAAGTACAGGATAAGGTGAGGGATGTCCACAGTCCTCCTATTCTACCCCCAACCCAGAGCCCAGTCAGTCCCTCCCGACTTTGGGCCAGACTGAAAACCAGTACCCGCAGAAGGGGAAAGGCCCCATGTCCTTCTCACAACTCTCTTGAGCTGACCGGCATCCTTTTTGCTCTGTGGTCAGACTGGAGCCAGAGTCTTCTGGAAGAGCAAAGCTCAAAATTCCATTCCCCACTATGCTGCGCCAAACCCCTATTTCCACAACAACACGAGGGCTCCTCCCTCTTCACCAGGCTCTCCACCCCTATCACACCCCATATCCTGACACAAGGAAGATTTACTGGGTCTTTGAAGATAGTTCAAAGTTTAGAGACCAGGGGATGAGCTGTCTGCACTCTGGGAAAGGAGAGCTGCTCACCACAAAAAACATCTGCCGCTGGTCCTTATGGGGCAGTAAGAAGAGCCTCAGCACAGTGGTGTAGGGAATCTTATAGTCAAAGGTCTTGCCATGCAGATGCAGAAAAGTGGGGTAAATGCGGATATCATAGCGACCACGTGGCGTCAGGCACTGCAACTCCCGGAATATGCAGATGGCGTCCCCAGTTGCTTGGATGACATCTGCCTTGGACAGCACGTTCTGGGCAAATGCCTATCACATACAAGGGAAAGGAGGAAAGGAAGTGGGGTTAGCGGAGGCTTCCCCTCAACCCCTGCCCTGCCTGCCAGCCCTCCTGGCCTGCACGTACCTCCACAGGGTCCACGCCATCCTCCTGTGTGGGAGGGACGTAGAAGCGCACCTCCATGAGGGACACCTCAGCATCATCATTTTGATGGAACTCCAACGTCACTTCATTCTTGCCCGTTGTGCACTGTGACACGTTGCTGAGAGGGATCTCAAACACTGGCTGCTCCCCAATGTCAAAGGAGAGAAGCTGGCCTGCACAGAGCAGCGGAAACCAAACAGATTGGCAGGAGTCACCAGACTGCCCCACACGGTGGGGGATCCCAGCCAGCGTCCTCGCATGAGCAGGTTCAACCTTTCATTGATCTTTTCTGTTCAACCATGGCCAAAAGCAAAATGCCTCTGCACAAAAGGGCAGAACAACAGGTTCCTCTCTCTCAGCTTCACTCTTGCCAGCATGCATCATTTGCAGGTAGGACCAAAATAGTTTCACTGCAGCACCACAGACGTGCCCCAATTCTACTCCCTCCCATCCAACTTCTCCCCAGCTCACCTCCAAACCGTACAGTTCCCCAGTTCCACCCTTTTACACATAGGTCCTTCTCTGCCAGTTCCAGGCGATAGTGGGATTTAAAGAAATCTGAGAGTTTGTCAAACTCCTAAGTGGGAGAGAAAACATAGATGAAAAGTGATTATGAACCTCTGGCTTGAGCCATATCCCTTACCCCAACTCATATCAAAGCTCTAGACTTCCTTCCTCTCCAAGAGGACAGACTAATGTTAGTACCCCAGCAATGCCCCTGGCGTGATGACAGAGCAGCTGAAGGAGACTCCAGCAGGAATACTCATCCAGGAGGTAGCCTGGTTGTAATTTGTAGTGCTTACCGAGAAGCACAGGGTAGACCAGAGGTGGGCAAAATGCAGCCTGCCATTCTATCCGGCCCCCGGAGCCCATAAAAAAATTCAGAAAATTAATATTTATCTGCCCCTGGCTGCCTGTCATGCGGCCCTCAATGGCTTGCCAAAACTCAGTAAGTGGCCCTTCGCCCGAAATAATTGCCCACCTGTGGGGTATTATATTGAAGGGACAACAGGGAGGAGATGTTACCAGTCCTGAGTCTTTGCTGGACAGTTCATAGGGGAGAGAAACAGGCTCAGAAAGCACTGGCAGCTAACACAGAAAAGCTGAGAGCCAACGGTCACAACAAACTGTATGGTCCAGGAAAAGGATGCACAGACGGTAGGAGGGGGTGCATGACTAGAACCCAACAAGATGCAACACTCATGAGAGCATGAGCTGCACTGGAGCTACACGCCTAGCATCCAGCAAGAAGCTAAGAGACCATTAGCTCATCCTCTTGAGAAGACAAGAGGTCTCCCACACTAGGACACCAGCTGCCACCTCTGACCCTGGTCACTATCACAAGAAGGACTCACCGATTCCCTGAAACCATCATACTTGTAGACGTGGCCATTTTTGGTAAGCAGTTTGAGACCATGGCCCAGCGCTACACGGCGCCAGACACCCTCTGCCAGCTCTGAAGCCTGGATGTTGTCCACTTTGCCTGTCTTACTGTTCTTGAAGATCACACCTTGGCGACTCAGGCGCAACCGCCCATCATTCTGGCAGGAAGAAACACAGAGGTTGGGGGGCAGGAGCCAGAACCTCCCCCACACAGGCCGTGGCCCATGTGCAAGATATGAACGAAGTGGACAGAGCCAGAGAGCACTCCCTGAATCACTTGTAGAAGCCAACCATCCTCCTACATTTGAGCCAAGGAGGCCTCACTACCGCTTCTTTTGAAAATAAGACTGTGTGCATCTTGCAGGTCAGATATAACATACCAGCAACCCCCACTCCCTGGGCAAGAATCAACCATTCCTCATCCTCCAACAATGACTCCCACAGGAGCTCCATGGTTTGGGACACAACCAACCAAACTGACACTGTGTGCCCTGCATTCACACCATTTTGGCTTAAAAAACAACTGACCATTTGAGACAAGAACCCTGCTCAGCTGTATTTCACAGGCACGTGAGTCAGTTGGGAACATTTGCGGGAACTGCGGCCACACATTCAGATGTCCCAGGACTGAGATAAGTTAGTTTATGAAGCTTAAATCCCTGCACACATATGTGGTCAACCAACAAATGGACACACCTCAATCTTAAGTTTCTCATGCAAACCAGATCTCATGCTGCAAATCACCCAAGTCATGGACGCCTCACACAACCCCCACAACCCAACTCAGAAGCTTAGGGCAGGAAGTTATGAGTCCTCCCTTCCCCAGATAAAATCCCGGTTGGGAACGCAGGCAGGTTTCTGGGACTAAGGCCCCAATCCCCTGGACAGCCTCAAAGCCCCTTTATTACCCCACAGATGCTAAACCAAACAGGGTCCAATCACATTGTGCCTCCTCTGAAAGTAAGCCAGCCCCAACCCCAGCCCCGATCACTGGTGTCAGCATGGACTCCAGGATGCTACCTCCCTCCAGATAAACGGGGAGAGGATCTTCAATTTAAGGGCCTGACACAGGGCAAACCTCCTGAGCCTTAAGCACACAGTAAAAGGAAGGCAGGCAGGAAGCTGGGCCATACGCCCCAGGCCCCTGCACCAGGTGCCATGTGGTACCCCCCTCCATTGCGCCCTGCAGCTGTCCAGCTCGGCCTGGGGGAGCCCCGGGGTCCCCCGCCCCCTGCCACGCTCACCATGGACCCCTTCACCTCCTGGTAGATCTCGTTGAACTCCAGCGTGTCGGCCATGGCGGCTCCTGTCCCCTCCGGCCCGCGCCCGGCTGGCAGGGCAGCGCCTGGGGCGCCTCGGGCGGCGGGACCCGGTGGGGAGGACGCCCAGGGCGGTTAGCGCCCCGCTGCAGCCGGCGAACACCGGTCGTCGGCCGAGCCGGAGGCACCTGGCGGCGAGAAAGTAGGGATGAGCCCGGGGCGGCCCCGCGGGGGGGCAAGGGAGCACAGCGGGCCCCGCCCCCACCCGGGGTGCGCGGCACGCGGAAGGCAATCCCCGCTCCACCCGCT